AATGGTAACTCATCAAATGCATCCTATCTATTGGAGGCTGCAAAGATGACCAGGCAGCAGAGGTTGTGAATGTAGCCAGGTTGTTTAAAATACTATTATTTCTTGGCTATTTTCTCATAATGTGTATTATTTTTTCTCAAAAAAAAAAAAAAAAAAAAGACAAGGATGAGGACATCTTAGGTTGATATTCTGCTGAGCACAGTAACTATGTAGTTACTTCACTGAAGACCACATGAATTTATCAAAATTTTGGTGAACTGAGCAGTGATTTGAGGATGATTTTTATAGTCAAACAATACCCTCATAGAATGCCAAAGCCAGATTCCCTGCAAGCATATTTCAGGGAAAATAAACTCGGGATAAAACCATTCTGGGGGCTTGGGCAGAAAAATTAACCAAAAGGGACAATTCGCTGTAGAGGCTCCACCCCCCTTTCTGGCTGCCATAGCTCTGGTAGTGTAGTGTGTAAGGCACTTGACTGCTAACCAGAAAGCTGGTGGTTCAAACCCACCAGCCACTCCTCAGAAGGAAGGTTGGGCAATCTACTTCTGTAGTGATAGGAGGGGTTGCTATGAGTCAGGTCCGACTTGATAGCACATAACAACAACAATCTGAGTTGAGACTGGCCATCTCCTCAAAACTGCAAAGCTTCATCTGTACTACAATGGGATGATAGGTATTGACCTTAGTCTTACTTCCCTCAATGGAAAAATCCTAGAGACATAGCAAGGGTGAGTATTTACCTAACACTCTAGTGCTCCTAAGGAGCTCTGATGGCACAGTAGTTAAGGCATTTGTCTGCTAACCAAAAGGTTGGTGGTTCAAACCAACCAGCTACTGTGTGGGATAAAGATGAGGCAGTCTACTTCTGTAAAGATCAGCCTTGGAAACCCTATGGGACAGGTCTACTCTGTCCTGTAGGGTCACTTGATGGCAGTGGGTTTGGATTTGGGTTTATAGTACTCCTGCCCAGAGAAGCCTCTTTGTACTTTTAGCAAAAAAAGGGAATGGCTGATCACCCTAAGTGTTTCCTAGGCACTTAGGCCCCCTTGGGAGTATTCCTTAAAGACCTCTGTAGCTAAAGCCTTGAGGCAGGACCGGCTACAAAATTTGCAGAGTACCATGTTCAGAAATGGAGCTCTGGTGATGTAGTGGCTAAAGCATTAGGTTGCTAACCAAAAAGTCAGTGTTTTGAACCCACCAGCCACTCCATGGGAGAAAGACCTGGCAGTACGTGTCCATAAAGATTACAGCTTAGAAAACTCTATGGGGCAGTTCTACTCTGTCACATGCTGTCTCGATGAGTTGGAATTGACTCAGCAGCACTTAACAAAAACAACCCTGTTCAAAAATCATTCAGAATTTCACAGAGGCCATAGAAGAGCATGAAACCAAGCACAGAACCCTTTGAAGAGATGGCCCTGTGTTGTTGCACAGGACACACACAAAGGAGGCTGCCCCTGCCTTCAGGGTTCATTGTCTTGGTGCTTAAGTTCAGAACCCACTTGCATCCTTTGGAAGGCTTATAGCAACTAAAGGAATGCAAATTAACAAAAAGTGGGAGCAACTAGTGATTGCCTGTGTTTAAAACACCAGCCATCAATACCATTGGCATCTTAGAGAAAATCCATCTGCATGATCGATTCAGAACAGTGTGCCTCTCAGAAGGTACCTGGAATCATGTAATGCAAGTTGGGGCAGCAGAAAAAAAAGCGGATGATAACCTCTTTCATTCATCCTGGTGCCCTATTCTTATGCTGAGCTTCTTTGACCTTCTACAGGTATAATCTCCAATCTCCACACAATAGCCAGTGCTCTTAAAAAAAAAAAAAATGTATCTGATCCTGGCCTGTTCCCCTGCTTAAAATACCTCAACAGGATTCTACTACCTTAGAGTCAAACTGTGAATTCTTACATGGCTCCAAGGAGCCCTGGTGGTGCAGTAGTTAAGTGATCAGTTGTTAATGAAAAGGTTGGTGGTTCAAACCCACCAGCCACTGTGTAGGAGATCTAGTGATCTGCTCTTGTAAAGATTATGGCCTAGGAAACCCTATGGGGAAGTTCTGTTCTGTCCTGTAGGGTCATTCTGAGTTGGAATCAAGTTACCAGTACACAGCAACAACAACAACCACAGTTGCAAGGCTATGTGTTGTTTTGTTTTTACCTGACTCCAGCCCCATCTACCTCCCTCTAGGCCCTGACTCCACCAAGTGTCAGGGCATGCCACTTCTTTCTGCCTCAGGGACTTTGCACATGCTGCTCCTACCTGGAATGCCTTTCTCTCTCTCCTTCCCTACCTTCTGGCTGTCCTTTTCCCACAACTTTCCTCTTCCTTGACATACAGTTTACATGCTTCTCTGATTCCCCTCTATCTCCCCCCACCATTCTCATTGACCTTGTACTTTTTCCTTAATTTGACTTTAATATCTGTTCCTTTGGCTAGATTGTAAGAATCATGAGAGTAGGGGATCACGTGCATCATTTCTGCATCATTCTGTCCACGGTATTTAGGTACAGTGCCTACTAGAACATAGTTTCATAAATAAGAATCTATATAAATCCAATCTCTAAAATGTGAGGATTCCTTAAATCTGCACTTTCCCACTTTTTAATCATCTCTGACATCAGCCACCCAGATGATACTTTCTCTCTCTAACTCTAGCCACCTGATGTTTGGTTATATCACATAAGTTAAGACGTTATCCTTCAGACTGCCAAATAAGTAGATGCCAGCCCCAAGCTTGGGCATCCACATGACACCTTGACTTCTGCTTGCTAGCTACAAATTTAGGCTTTTCCCACTACCCCTTGAGGATGCCAGTCATAAGCTCAGGGCTTCCTCTGGGCTCCCTTACTTTCACCTGCTGGGTCTCCTCCTTTGGGTTCAATAATTCACTGGAACAACTTACAGAATTTATAGAAAGTACTGTACTTAGGATTACAGATTTATTATAACAAAAAGATAAAAATCAAGGTCAGCATAAAGAAGAGATGCAGGGGGCAAGTTCCAGGAGGTTTCCCAGTGCAGTGCTTCTGTGTCCTGAAAAGGGTGTGCTACCTTCCTACGTGTATCGATGCCTTGCACCAACCAGGAAGCTCCTAGTGTTTACACGTCCAAAGTCTTTACTGGGCTCATTGGATGGTCATGATTGGGGCCTCATTGCATGTGCATGATTGAATCATGTTCCCCTCCTTCCTCAGATCAGGTGGTTTTAGGCCATAATGTGGTCCTTCTGGTTTGACCAACCCCAACTCATTAGCACAAATCCTCCAGTAAAGTCTTTAGGCCTAGGTAACAACAACAGACCAAAGAAACCTACTGCCATCATGTCAATTCCAGATTAGAACTTCTCCATAAAGTTTTCTTGGCTGCAGTCTTTCCAGAAGCAGATCACCAGGCTTTTCTTTAATGATGCTGCTGGATAAGTTCAAACTGCCAACCTTTATGTTAGTAACCCAGTGCCATCAAGTTGATTCTGACTCAGCAATCCCCATTGAGTTTCATAAATCTTTATGGAGCTAAATTGCCTCATCTTCCTCTTGCAGAGTGGCTGGTAGGTTTAAACCACTGACCTTCTGGTTAGCAGCCAAATGCCTTAACCACTATGCCACAGAGCTCCTTTTTATGTTATTCTATCTTTCTCTCTCTCTCATTGCCATCGAGTAGTATTGAACTCATAGCGACCCCTCCTTGGGTTTCCGAGGCAGTATCACTACGGTAGACTGCCCAACCTTCCTTCCGAGGAGTGGCTGGTGGGTTTGTTATTAGTAGAGTGCCAACTGTTTGTGCCACTCAGAAACCTGGATAACAAAAGACATCTCAATTACTCAGGAAATTCCAAAGATTATCTTTCAGGAACCAAGGACAAAGGCCAAATTGCTCTTTGTAAGGTGATTCCATAACCTCACAATAGTAGATACTCAATAGCTGTTTGTTGAAAGGATGAATAGATGTGCCATGTAGTTCATAGTTTAAACTTCATTACACACTATCTCGTATTATTTGTTGTTCTTACCTAATTTCACCAATTAGTTTAGAAATTCGTCAATACCTGGTAACATGTTCTGTGTTTCTCTGAATTTCCCACAGTGCTCAGCTTGTAGTACATGTTCAAGGAATGTTGTTGACTAACAGGTTATGAGCATTTTACAAATTCAACCTCTGCTATTACAGCGTAGATAACTAAAAGAGAAGGTGGTGTAGTGCCTAAGGCATTTGACTGCTAACCAGAAGGTTCAAACCCACCAGCTACTCCTTGGAAGGAAGATTGGGCAATCTACTTCCATAGAGATAACACCTCAGAAACCCACGGAGGGGTTGCTATGAGTTGGAATCAACTTGACGGCAGTGAGTTTAGTTTGAGTATGTGTGTTTAATTTGTTATAGATACTTTCTGCTGATTGGTAAGGTAAGTCATAACCAAAGCTAGACATAATCTTAATTAGGAGGTTTTGCCTAAAAAAAAAAAAAAAAAAAACCACACAAAAACATTCCAATATGATGTAAATATTTCCCTCATAATCTTATTTACTGATTCCGGAAATAACCTTGATATAAGACTTAGAAGCACTGTATACTTAGAAGGTTCAATATACTCCCATGTGAGTGCATCACCCACGTTGGGTGTATATAAATATGCCCAATCCCATATGTTGTGGTAACACTGTTAGAATTTGTCTAGTGATAGGAATTTGACTTGCCATCATTCTTTCCTATAAAGTAGCTTGTTCTCAGCTTCTCATTGGAAATGGCATTTGTATGGTAGATGTACACTGTCAGAAATCTTAGTGGGATAATATATTTTTTTCAGAACATTTCATAACTATTACTCTGACCACTGGATTCATTTAGTTTTCTGTACCGTACCTTTCTAATGGATGAACTTAATCTCCTTGCCATAGTGTTCTTCCAGACTGGCAGATCTTGATGACATTGAAAATGATTTCCATATAATGAGTAACAGTCTACTTCCCTGCTTTCTTTAAAATGCCTTTTGCAGACAAGAAGCCCCAAACTGTCTCATAGTCCTCAACCTCCCAGTTTGGGTGACCCGGCTGAGCATTTATCAGAGGCGTCCGGTGATTCTTTGGAAGCCATGTCTGAAGGAGAGTCTCCAAGTCCTTTCTCCAGAGGCAGCCGGACTCGAGCAAGCCTTCCAGTAGTGAGGTCGACCAACCAGACAAAAGAAAGATCTCTGGGTAAGCTTCAGAGGGCAGTTCCTGCTGTCCCTTCATTACTGTATGTATTCATTTTTATACTTCTGTATTAAGGAAAAAGAGACTCTAAATTCAAACAGGTTCAATAGAGACACTTTTATTAAGCCTGGGACAGAACAAAGATATCTTGGATAAGGGAAACTATCAGTATGAGAAAGCTGAATGGAGTCTACTGAGTCATGGTCATGTGGCTAATTATGTACGATTTTTTTAAGAAAGGGAATTATCACAAAATCATGTTTGGTGGTAGATAGATTCACCACTGTTGCAGGCGGGACTACAAGAGCAGGGAAAAGACCATGATTGGGATTTGAAGATAAGAAAGGTTTACAGGATTGGCTCTGGGCCTTGACTACCTGGTTAGGTGGTGGTCCAGGTAGGCTGTGACTCATGACCATGCAGCCTCAGTCTTAGCCACAGGTGGCTATCAAACAATACCAAGACCCCAACCTTAGTTTAAATCAGAAAAGGATGTTCTCAGGCAAGTTCCCTAGTTCCTTTTATGAGCATAATCTACTTTCAACCATTTTCTTCTTAAAGTTAAACTGCCCCTCCCTAATTTTGTCCTGGAGCTTGTCTGTGTATAGCCACAATGATGGTTTAATGGTCAGAAAGAATGCAGATGGCATCTGAAACTTATGTCAAGCCTCAAAATGGAGGTAGGGATCCCACTGCAGAGCACAGCCTTCCACAAACCAAGTGCTTTAGAATTGAAGCTCTAATACACTTCTGAACATATACTTCTGCTTCCAAATATTTATTTGATTTTGATTTGTAAAAGCATAAGTACTAGGAAATTTAATTGATTTAATATTAAACATTGAGAATTTGCCTGTTGAGGAATCAGGCAAGTTCAAGCTGTTCTGGGGATTGTGTAAATTCAGAACTAGGTGAGACTGACAACTTGAGCAGAGGCTGGTAAACCAGTTGCCACTGGGTCTATTTCAATTGATGGTGATTCCATGTGTGTCAGAGTAGAACTGTGTTCCATGGGGTTTTCAATGGCTGATTTATTTTTTATTTTATTTTTTTTTAAGTAGATCACCAGGAGTTTCTTTCTAGGCACCTCTGGGTAGACTTGAGACTTCAAACTTTCAGTTAGCTGCCAAGCTCCTTAATCATTTATACCACCCAGGGACACCACCACCAGGCTGGGGCTTTTCCAACTGGATGAAAGAGTCTCATGCTTCCTTAACCTCATTGGTGCTTAAGGCAGGAGCACAGGAGCTAGCCAAGGAATGGAATTTCTCCTTTGTACTTTACAGGAAATGAGTGAGGTTCAGGTCCTTCCCTGCAAAGATAGCCTCTGCTGTGCAAAATAAAATGAACAGCCAAATAAATGCCTTGCCCTCCGCCTTCCCCATACCTGGTGAACACTGAGCTTGTTGGATAATGGATCTCTTGTTTTGAAGGCAGGAATTTCCTCCCATCCACCAAGAGCAGTTGGCAGAGCAAGTAGGTACTAGCTGGGTTCTGGAACCATGCCTTAGGGCAGAGAGGCTGCTGGAGGAGATGGCAGGCCTGGGCCAAATGCTTAGTTCTAGACACACACCTTGCTTGAGAGCTCTGTTGAGCTCCTAGTCATAGCAGGTTAAAAAATGTATCATAGGTGTTATACTTCCAGCTCCATAAGGGGCTTTTTGACCTGTGATTTTTCACAAATTGTTGATAGAAACAAAGAAACACTGTGAGAGGAGAGAAATCAGAAGTTTGCCAAAGCGAACAAGCTGTAGTTCCAGAAATTGAGGCTGGCGCCAGGCCAGCAGGGTAGGCGCTGCCCTTGACCAGCTCTTTGTGTCTGATTTGAGAATGTCCTCCCGGCTGCACCTGGCCCTCAATGTGTAATTCAGTTGAGCCGAGATGGGAAAAAAATGGAGAAGTGTGAGTCATGGAGAATCTAAACACAATCTCCTTCCCAGGGGTCTTGCTCAGCCTTGTTTTTGGAAAACCCCCTTGGGCCAGGCTTTACTTAACATGTAGAAACTCAGGCTCAGGTTAGAGGCAATCTCCCCAGAGAGCCCAGGCCACACAACGGATATCCCGAGAGCATTGCAGGGCTGTGAAGTACAGCTGTGACCCCACTGGGCCTCAGCAGCTGCACATTAGAGACTCTGAGCTGTGACCTTCTGGAAACCCAGTGTCGGTGCCATTTGGAAGCCCTGATGTCTTTTGGGGTTTGTACATTGTTGTTTTATCTTAATCCACATAGTTTTAAAAAGCTTTCCCACTAAGCCCTTTTGATTTTGTCTCTATTTAAAACTTTGATACAGCATTTTGTTCATCATGGATTTTTTTTTTTTGCATTAATTTTTACTTTTAAAAATATGTCAATGAAATATTTTTTTCTCTTGATGACTGATGTTTCTGATCCCCACTTCAATTTTGCACTCAAGGCGAGTACCTCACTTACTTCACCCCAATGCCCACTCTGTGGAAGCCCCCACCCACGGTATCCACAGAAACTGCCTAGGGAAATCCAGGCTGTGAGCCTGCACTTCTGCATGTTCGCAGTTTGTCATCCCAGAAGCAGCTCAAACAGTACTTAGGGGGCAAGGGGAATTTGGGGACCCTGAGGGTGCAGCCCACACTGCACAGAATCCTTAGGCTGCTACTCCTACTTCCTTGCATGGATAAAACCTTCCCTCCCTTCAAGCACCCTGTGCCAGGAGATAAACCCGCTCACTTAATAATTTTTCCACTTGAATAATCTATCACTTGGACATACTTAGGGGCTGGAGGAACATAAGGAGAGTGAGCACGATGTGTTTAGCAGAGGCTTTTGGAAAACATGTATGAGAGAAAAAAAAGAGCAGTAAGCCATTGTTTAGCCTAGAGAAGTGTATGCATTGCTTCTGTCAGTATTACAGTGTTCCTTCCGTGCTGTACTGGGGTACAAGATGTGAGCTTATCATTTGGGAGAGGTACTTGGGGAACTTCAGGCAGGGCCAGATAACACTCAGCAAAGTCAAGCTTTCTGATGCTGATGGCTAACTAGCCATTCTTTGAGATTTATGAAACTCAGTGGGCTCTGATATATAACATACCAGATTCTGATGACCTGCCATCTCTGAATCTTTATGTCTACAGACTGGTGGTTTCCCTTCCTGCTCCACCCATCCTGAGCGCAACTGAAATTCTCCCCAGTGAAATTTATGCCATTTCCCCTTCACTCCATCTTCGGTGCAAACAGAGAACATTAGGAGAGAAGAAGCTGGAAAAAAAAAATAATAATAATTTAGAAAACCTCTTTCCAGTAGAGTTTGGTTTTGGAAATAATTTCCATGAAAAATCGTCCTGTTGATATTAGGTCTAGAGTCTTAATGATGGAGTAGTTTCCTTTTAATCATGGTGCTGTCTTGTAAATGCCTGCCTGGAATGTGACCATAGGCAGGGATTGGTGTCTGGCTGCTCCAGAGTGGGCCTTCGGGGAAAGGGTAGCCGCAAGATGTCCCCCCCCTTCTCCGTGCCCTCAGGAATTTGAAAATAAAACTCATGTGAAAACAATAACAACAGCAGAAGCTTCATTCTTGGTGCAGCCAGATTGCTCTATTGAACACAAAGGAATGGTTAATGTTAGAAAAGATACCCCGCTTACCAGCCCAGCACCAGAAGTAATGCCATTTCTATAACAAACTGCCTCTCAGACACTCAGAATCAGACTAAGCAAGCAGATTTGTGGCATGAGAAGGTTTTATACAAACTGGGGAAGAATTTCCTCAACTTCAGGAATTAGTGAGTCTCCATGTGGCCATACTTCTCCTCCAAGATGGTACCAGTGATGGTAATTACTCCCTAAGGGGGATTTAAGGAAAAGAAGGTTCATGGTTGCCAGAATTATCCACCCTTCCCACTCAAGGCTGCGTTGGAGGGAGGGTAGAACAAAGGATTTAGGAAACATCCATCTATGAAGGCCAAGAAGGTTTGTGGGCAGACTGTAAGGCTAGTATTAAGATTTTTTGAGCTTATATAATTATCCCCTGCATATTAAACAAACAGATCTCAGGGACATGAAAAGAAGTACACCTACCCCCACTTATTGGCTATCACATTATCCAGCATTTCATATTTATGGTAATAGTAAAAAAATCTACTATCTGACAGCTTTACACATTAACGATGTACATTTGGCAGTAATGAATGCTGATCTGTGAAGTGAGAGTAACATTGGCTGTGATGGTTAAGGTTATCTATCAACTGGGTTGGGCCATGATTCTCAGTGGTTTGGCAGTTATGTAATGATGTAATTAGACAGTTACGTAATGATGTAGTCAACCTCCATTTTGTGATCTGCTGTAATCATCCTCCATTTTTGCATAATGCCGATTTTCACATGGCGACTTGGTCTTTGGAAACTAACCATGTCAATAAGTGTTGCTCTGTAGAGTAAATGAAGCATTTACAGAATTTGTTTTCTTATGTACTGGTAGACATTGAAATTATAATACTATAAAAAGGTTTTATGGGCAAGAGTGTGGTTATAAATAGACTGGGGGCACATCCTGATTTGTTTAGGGTGCTGTGAAACAAAAGATTAGAGCCTTTTCTCTAGCATGAGAAACAATACTCAGCCTAAGTGGATTGAGCCTATGTGGACTCAGCCTCATGGTTAAATGGGTTCTGTGATCTATAGCAAAAATTTAGCCCAGTGATTCTGTGAGCCATTTAATCAATCCATTTTTACTTAAACTATGATCATGATTCAATTCTCTGCAACTGAACCCTGATCAATGCAAAAGTTCTATTTGCTGCATTTAAAAAATTGTAGTGTACTTGTTCTGCTCATTTTGGAAATTATGCCAAGGACCTGTAGGTACAGACTAATGAATTTGAGAAGCTTGGCAATGAATCAGAGGTGTGGTTTTCAAACTGTGTTCCTGTAACTGTAGAGTTCAGTGGTATTTACTCTGCTTTAAATATTTCAATTTCATTTCAAAAACAAGTTGATGCTACATTGCTAACAACCACACTAAAACTGAGAAAAT